GCTGTGGGAGCAGATTTCCATTATTTACTCCATTTCTCTCCTCTATCTTCCCTCCTTCTCAGTTTGCCCTACACACGTTACAAATTAACCCTGCAGAAACAGATGGTTCCAGACAGGAGTTTGTATTTGATGCTGTAGCCTGTTGCAAATGCTGCACTGTTTTGTTCATTTTATTTTTTAATCAACAGATTGTAATTTATGCCTATGCAAGAAAAAAAAAAAGACCAAGACAAATAAATTATACCAAAATTGTCCTGTTTTGTACATTTGGATGTTCTGTAAGTGAATTTGCTGTTGGGAATGATGCACAGCTTGTAGATGGACAAAGCTATTCTTGTAGCCATTCTATGTAGTCTTATGGCAAATCCATATTTTCCAGCCTGATATACTAACTCTAGGGTCAGCGGTTGTCACCTTGTCATTGAGAAGGCTCTGGGAGGCAAAACTCAAATTCCTTGGGACTTAAGTGACTTCTACTAGACGTAAGTCTGTGATGGACCCTGGCTGTGTTCATCCTGCAGTGACCTCCAGGCCCTCCCTGGGCATCGTCCCTCCTTTGCCTTATCATTAGCGAAGCCTGGCTCGGCCCCGAGGAGCAGCAGGGAGAAAGCCTGACACAAAGCACAATTAAGGGTGGCTGCAGGCTGCTCTTTTCCCTAACATGGGTTGTAAATTACTGAGCAGGCAGCTAAGAGCAAGTAGAAAGGAAATACTTAATTTTCCTCAGCATGAGAAAGTTAACCTAGAGCATAGAAGGTGGCTGCAAAAAAAGGGAAATTGAACTCGCTTGAGGAGGGTCTCAACCCTGTCTGCTTAACCAGGATGGGCTTGGAGGCAGGCTTGTGTTGAGGAGTAACATGCAGCTCCTCACAGAAGGTCACCCTAGGGCCAGGCTTGCTCTGTGCTGGCCTTGGACCAGCCATCTCCAAGAGAGAGGCTGTGTGGGCCTCTGCTCCAGCTCCCACCAGCTCCCAGCCCAACACTTACCTGTGAAAGGGCTGTGCAGGGCAGAAAAAGCCTTCATGAACCTCTGAGATAAACAGGTGAGGCAGAAAAAAATCTCATTCCAAACACGGGGGAGTCTTGCTGTGTTTGCAGAAACAGGTGAGGTGCAAGTCCTAGTGAGGGCCCAGGGAGCACAATATGCAGGCAGTGCAAGTGCTGTGCTAAAGCTGCATCCTGCAGCAGAGGTTCTCTGATGGCCCCAAATGATTTGCTATAGCTGCTTTCCACATGCACTCGTACACATCTCACACCACACTGCTGTTCTCATTTAACCACTCTACCACCAAGGTGCACTAAATTTTGTTCAGAGTAAAAGCTGTCAAGGCTGTGCAGAGGCTCAGCAGCAGCTCTCTTGTGCCATGCCATGCCCTCCCCTGCCGTCGCTGTGAACGCAGCCTCGTTTTGTAGCCAGCAAAGGAGGCCGGTGCCAAGCAAACCTCCTTTGTCTGGCTTTCAGCCTGGTTTTCCAGAGGGACAAAAAGCAACAAGACACTTTAACTTGGAACAAACTTTTTTAAAATTTATTTTATAGATCACACCAGCCTGAGTGATCTTTAAATGCTGGTCACAAAAGAGAGATCACACCACCTCCTTTGCACAAATTGAAGTGAACCTTCTTTCAGTCTCGGCAGTCTCCTTCATTTGGAGCACAAGGAATGGAGAAAGAGAAAACCGCCTGGAGCTCTCTGCTCCCCTCAGAAGCAGAGGGCAGTGAAATCAGATGCAGTTTGATGCTGCTACAGGGCCAGAAGACAAACCAACCAGGCCCTCATGCCCTGCTCAGCCACACCTCACACCCCCTCACAATGCGGGTGCTATTAGTGTTGTAGCCGCCTATAGTTCCTCCCTCGCCAGGAGAGTGCTGGTATTTAGGCACATAGCTTGGAAAAAGGACTGTCTGACCTCCCCCTCCAACCCATGCTCAAGTCACTGCAGTCTCTAAGGCAAAGTACCCTCGTCTCCAAACCATGTTTCTCACCTCTCCCGTGCCGCTTAATGCTTTTGGAGTGCTGGTGTTGGCATCGGGAGACACGCTGTGCCCCCTGATCCTGCTGCCGCTCGGTTGGTGTGAAAGCCTCACCTTGAATCTCAAGGTGAACTGGAATGAACTCCACACAGGGGCCACAGAGTAAGAAACAAGAACAACCTGCTCAGAAGGGACAGAAGCTTTACAGTCTCTCTAATTAAAACAGAAGTCCTTCATTGGAGGAGGAAGCCCTCAGAGAAACCGAGGCTGACCACACCTGCTGGGGAGAGCCATGATTTGCTGAGGATGCCACCTCCTCCTCCTCAAAATGCTACCACACTCCCACAGCTCACCACAAGCTGGCAGAGCATAATTCCTATCCTCACCAGAGCCAAGCGAAGAGGCAGGCTTAGAAGGGAGATTAAAATACGCAGGTAATTGATCACTTGCACAGCTCAGGGTTAAAAAAACATTCTAACAGTAATTTGTAGACTATCCTTGCAGGGCCTTCCTGGAGAAGCGAGAATTTGTCGTTAAAATAAAATACAATCTTAAAAAACAATGAAATTTAAAGTCACAAGAATTACTATGTACTTCCAATCCTGAAAGCACTTCTATAAATTTGGTACCAATTCATCACTGCCCTCTTTGGTCAAGAGGAGAGAAGACAAATCCTACCTCTGCCATTGCAAAGTTTGGCCACTGAGTTCCAAGAAAGATTTTGAAAATCTTGTAGTAAAAAAA